AGTCTGACAGTAAGCTACAAATCAATGAAACCAATTTTGGGGTTACATTTTAAAATAGTTCCACAGAACTTAAGGATAAAGAATGCAAAAATAACAATTACCTGATTGTGTTGCTTATGAATTAATTTTTTCCATTTGAAAAAACTTCTCCTGAACTTAATTGATTTTTTACATGAGTTTTGGGATAATTTTTAATTCAGCAAAGCTATATTGATTTTAAAAGTAGTTTATAATTTTTAATGAATTGTATCTTGTTTTAATTTTGAATCAAACTCTGTTCTTTGCAAATTGGCAAATTGCATATCAATTTTCACTTACATACAAGTTAATTGCTTAAACTGGTTTGTGAGGTAGATGCAATGTATCTGAAGAGGTATTTTATGAGGGTATTATTTTCTGTATCTGTAATGGGACAAAATGAGCATTTTAAAGAAAGGTTGGATTCTTGGTAATAGAACAGCTAATGATTCAGGAATAACTTTAAGACTTAGTTCATTTTTTATGTTTATGAAATAATAGCATAGTTGAGTACAAATCTAGTTTTTTGGGGGCATGTTTTTATCTTACCTAAGAATATCTGAAAGATTACATGTTCATGTTTTTCCTGATACCTGCTGTGCCTCCTTCTTTGGCCGCTAATTCAGCCAAAAAGTCTTTGTTAGACTGAAAATAGAACATGACTTGACTGCTCAAGGAATCAATTAATAATACATGTTTCATTTTATACATATTTCTTATATATAGTATGCCATTGACTAACATATTAAAACTGGAGAGAAGGTATTCAGGTCATTGGGAGCTTTGCTTCTAGATCTGAGGCCATAAACCAATATATTTAATATAGGAGACCAAAAAAAAAAAAAAAGACTCATTGTCTTATATAGTTAGATTTTCAGTGAATTGAAGGCTTTATAATTTTTGAATTATAGATCAATCAAAAATATACCCTTTGGTTACATCACCACTATTACAAGTATAATAAATGTTAAAAATAATACATGGATAGATAGTAAGTAGGCTTAATTTAATAGGGCAAGGGGCATCACACTGGGAAACCTTACAGATTTAGTGTTTTATTTAAATGATTTCTGATTTTTAAAAAGTAAACATTAAGAAGGCTGAGAAGCAAGTAGGAAGTTTTTTTCTTTTTTTAAAAAGAGTACTTTTAAAGTTGCATTTTTGACACTGTACCTCCTGTAGTTGTCTTAATAGTCTCTTTGTAAGACGGCAGTAGAAGTATTGGCAAATAATAAGCTCTGTCCTTTTTGAAAATCGATTTCACTTCATTCAGGTTCCAATTGTTGCACTCACTGCTACTGCAAGTTCTTCAATCCGGGAAGATATTGTACATTGCTTAAAGCTGAAGAATCCTCAGATTACCTGTACTAGTTTTGATCGACCAAACCTGTATTTAGATGTTGGACGAAAAGCAGGGAATATACTTCAGGATCTGAAGCAATTTCTTGTTGAAAAGACAAGGTAAGGATTTAATGGTTCATGAATTTTGGTAACTACTCACTTAAAGACAGGGATAGGTTCTGAGAAATGCATTGTTAGGCAGTTCCGTTGTTGTGTGAACATTATAGAGTATACTTACATAAACCTAGGTGGTATAGCCTACTACACACTTAAGCTATATGATATAGCATTATAATCTAAGGGACCACCATATATATGTGGTTTGTTGACCGAAATGTCATTATGCGGCACGTGACTGTACTGCCTTCTTAAAAAATTTATTTTCTGTTTCCTCCTACCGCATATTTAATATATTTCAAATCTATATTGCTTTCTTTCAAGTCAAGTGTGGTGTTATATAATCAATTCAGTCAGTAAGGAAAATGTCTATTTTTGAAGGCAGAAACTATTTCTTGTAATATTTTTATACTCCATACTGTTGCATATACTCTAAATAATTGACAAGTAAACGAACATAAAATGAGTATTTCATCTGAATTCTTTCTAGTTCACTAATTACGTAGCTAACTTCAGTTTTAGGCAGTTGAAACACATTGGAGCCTGTTTGGTGTTCCAAGAACTGTCCTAGGTGCTTTATATAAGTGATCTAGTTTAATCCTTATAACTGCCTAATAAGCTAGATATTATTTTTACTTTACTGATGAAGAAACTGTCTTTAGTACTTTCTTCTGTTTATTTTGTTTAAAGGCATTTTATATATATGCCAAGAAGTATTCCTAAGTCTTATTTCCTTGATATGTCTGCTCAATGAAAAGCTTATAATTTTCATGTTATGAAATGTTTTTTAGTCAGGATACATTAAAAAGTTTCTCCTACTAATACAAACACAAAACAAATCCAGGCAAATAGAGTTTAAAGAGCATCATTAGTGTTTTTCTTTTCCAGAAAGGGATAGTAGAAGAGAAGATTGATCCTGAGTTAAGGAAACCCCGTAGTTATTCTTGAGGACCTTAACCAATAATTTAAATGTAGGATTTGCTACAGGCTTAGTTTTCCTCTATTCAGAATAAAACAAGAATATGATGAATATATTTTCAGTCTTCTGGCCTCTCTATTGGTCTCTTGGAAGTGGTAACTCATTGTGCTTCACGTCCCTCTGTCCTAAAGGAAAAAAGTTCTCTTGTGAGTTGGAGTCTCCACAATCAGATCATATCTACTCTTCTAATCTTTGATCCTTTTCAGTTCATATTATTCTCAACCTCTATGGCACTTTCCTCTTATAATAACCCTCTGATTTTAAAAATATGTAGCCTTTTTTTTGTTTTTGTGACTTTGTGTTCTATTTTTGTGACACTGTTGTCCTCTTAGAATACTAGGGTACTTCAAAAAGTTTGTGGAAAAATAGAATTAAAAAATAACACAAATCTTTTCATGAACTTTTTGAAGTGTCTTATGAAAATATTTCCTTCTCACTATTTCTCATGTTAATTCTGCTAACTATGGTCTTTGTTACTTTTTAGCCCACGCTGTTACAATGTCTCCTAACAGATCTCACTCTCCTCATTGCTCCTTGCTGCATTCTGTACACAGTTTTCAAATTCATCATCTGAAAACACATCCCTAAGTGTTGTAGTACCTTTTTGGAACTTTTTTCCTGTGGAGTAAAGACCAGATTCCTTAACCTAACATTCAGTGCCATCCAAGATCTTGCTGTTTAATATGAATTAGTATTTCTAAAAGCAGATCAAGAAAGATTTTTTTTTACCCATTTTGAATCCTCCAAGAAGAGTTATATTAGCAGGGAACCATTGAGAGTCAGTGATTTCTACAGATCTTAGGTGAATAGAAATTTTCCATTTAATGTGCAGTGAGGTGGAGGGTAATTAAGACTTTAGAGTATGGCCTTTCATTTACATTTTTTTCCCTTCCTTTAATTAAGCCACTTGTTTATCATTGTTTACATTTTTCTGTTCGTTGAGCTAACGTTTTCTTAAACCTTACTTTGTTTCTGTATTCACAAAACATTTAGATTAGATAGATGAGCCTCTCTCACCTGTCAAGTTTAGTGGTTAGATAGATGAACATAGCTTTCTTCCCCCTGAGAAAATTGTTATGAGGAGACAATAGTGTTTAGTAAATAACTTGACAAAGTAATGACTCTTTTGTAATAGGAATTTTTATTCTTGTTGATTTATCTGTTATGTAAGTTCAAGTTTTTACATATCTTCTACCTTTTTTTAATTTTAAAAGTGATATATAGTAAATATCAATTTGAACAATACAGGTGCATATAAATTGAAAAGTACTTCAATTTTCCAATCCTATTCCTCAGTTATAATCACAGTTGATATTTTGGTATTTAACTGTATTTTTTCTCTGACTGTTTACTGTGCAGATGTACACTCCCAGTTTTTTGTAGTTGTTGTTAAGTTCATGTAAAAATAGTTTCATACTATATCCATTTTTTTCTGTGATTTTCTTCTTTCATTTAAAGTATGTTTGCTATCATTCCATATATTGTATTTTCTTATATTAGGGCCTTAATATATAGGATATTACAATATCCAGACTTTGGTGAGCAGTTTTGTCTTCTTTGTAAACATGTTTTTAAAATAGAATTTTTGTACACTAAAAGAAAGGATTTGTATTTGTCTCACTCCATTAAGTTGTTTACTGTGAATTTTTGATATGGGAGCCCATTTGGTTACTTGCAAAAATTACTTTGAGTAGATTATATAGTAAGACTCTTGCAGTGAAATTATTTCTTGATTTTTTTCCTCTGCTTAAGTTTTCAGTGGCTTTTGCCATAGTTCTTCTTAAAGGTTTTATAAACATTGAATTTTTAAAATGTTTGCTTAGTATTCCATAGTATGAATGTGTATAGTGACGAACATTTAGGTTATTTTCACCATTATAATTTGCTGTGAATATTTGTGTACATGTACCTTTTGGCAGATATATAAGTATTTTTGTAAAATAGTATCCTAAAATTGAAATTGGATGAAAGGGCATATGCATTTAAAATTAAATAAAATAACTTTTCTTAAATAGTACAGTCTTTTTTTTTTTTTTTCTTTTCCTTTTTGTCTTTTTTCGTGTCCGGCAACGGATTGCAACCCTCAGTGTCGCGCCTGTACCGGACCGGGACCGGCAACGGGATCGCAAACCTCGGTGATACGCCCGCACCTCGCTCAGCCAGTGAGCGGGAACCGGTCTGTATGTGGGATCTGAACCCTCGGCGGGAGCACCGCCACGCTCCCAAGCGGTGCACTGTAGCAGTGCGCCACCGGGCCGGCCCTGAAATAGTACAGTCTTTTTATATTAAGTCAGCTTAAATGAATGTATTTATGTAAATTAATATATTGAGGCATTAAATAAATGTTCATCATTGTTTACACTTTTAATAAATAAGTGCAAATTTCTATGATAGACATTCTAATAGATTTTTTTTTTCTGTAATATTTGCAGTTTCAAGATTCCCAGTAAATGCTTTGAATTATAAAAGCAATCTTTCAGTATTACAGGAAAACCTTTTTAGTAAACAGATATGCAAACTCAACTTTATGATCATGAGAGAGAATAAGAATATAACAAATGTTATACATATTCCTATGTAAATATAAGAGTACTTCAAAAAGTTTATGGAAAAATAGAATTAAAAAATAATACAAATCTTTCCATTAACTTTTTGAAGTACTCTTGTATTTACTAACATCTCTTATGTAAATTGAGACTAATTGTTAATCTGGTGCTTTGAATTCTTAAAAGTATTTGTATTAATAGTTTATACATTTTTTATCAAGGTTTCTGGTAAAACAGATAAACTTGTTTCTGGTTTTAACTCAAGTTTGAGCGGAAAGTCAAAGGTTTTTGGGGCTTAACAATTTATTTCCATATTTGATGCTCCATAATGTTTTAGATTTTTATGCAGTTAAATATGTCATTGTTTTTCATATGCTTTTTCTCTTTAATCTTTTACTTAGAAAGTAGAAAGGAAAAGTTAAATTATATAAAATTCAAACTGGTCTGAAGCATTTATATAATATATGTGTTTGTTTTTTTGTCTTCTTTTTCTTTAGTTCTGATTGGGAATTTGAAGGTCCGACTATCATCTATTGTCCTTCCAGAAAAATGACAGAACAAGTTACAGCTGAACTTAGGAAACTGAATGTAGCCTGTGAAACATACCATGCAGGCATGAGTTTTAACAAAAGGAAACAGACTCATCATAGGTTCATGAGAGATGAAATTCAGGTGTGATGATTGATCATCAATACTCTCTATTCCCCATAGAAGAAATAGATATTTCTCGAATATTTATTTACTATATTTTATTGAATACTTTCTAAAGCAGTTCCTCTGATAAAGGGAATCAGCATATTCCCATTATCAATATGGGAGATAGGTATGTGAATAAACTGTTGCAGACTAGTATAAATAATAGCTTCTACNTATATATATGCCAAGAAGTATTCCTAAGTCTTATTTCCTTGATATGTCTGCTCAATGAAAAGCTTATAATTTTCATGTTATGAAATGTTTTTTAGTCAGGATACATTAAAAAGTTTCTCCTACTAATACAAACACAAAACAAATCCAGGCAAATAGAGTTTAAAGAGCATCATTAGTGTTTTTCTTTTCCAGAAAGGGATAGTAGAAGAGAAGATTGATCCTGAGTTAAGGAAACCCCGTAGTTATTCTTGAGGACCTTAACCAATAATTTAAATGTAGGATTTGCTACAGGCTTAGTTTTCCTCTATTCAGAATAAAACAAGAATATGATGAATATATTTTCAGTCTTCTGGCCTCTCTATTGGTCTCTTGGAAGTGGTAACTCATTGTGCTTCACGTCCCTCTGTCCTAAAGGAAAAAAGTTCTCTTGTGAGTTGGAGTCTCCACAATCAGATCATATCTACTCTTCTAATCTTTGATCCTTTTCAGTTCATATTATTCTCAACCTCTATGGCACTTTCCTCTTATAATAACCCTCTGATTTTAAAAATATGTAGCCTTTTTTTTGTTTTTGTGACTTTGTGTTCTATTTTTGTGACACTGTTGTCCTCTTAGAATACTAGGGTACTTCAAAAAGTTTGTGGAAAAATAGAATTAAAAAATAACACAAATCTTTTCATGAACTTTTTGAAGTGTCTTATGAAAATATTTCCTTCTCACTATTTCTCATGTTAATTCTGCTAACTATGGTCTTTGTTACTTTTTAGCCCACGCTGTTACAATGTCTCCTAACAGATCTCACTCTCCTCATTGCTCCTTGCTGCATTCTGTACACAGTTTTCAAATTCATCATCTGAAAACACATCCCTAAGTGTTGTAGTACCTTTTTGGAACTTTTTTCCTGTGGAGTAAAGACCAGATTCCTTAACCTAACATTCAGTGCCATCCAAGATCTTGCTGTTTAATATGAATTAGTATTTCTAAAAGCAGATCAAGAAAGATTTTTTTTTACCCATTTTGAATCCTCCAAGAAGAGTTATATTAGCAGGGAACCATTGAGAGTCAGTGATTTCTACAGATCTTAGGTGAATAGAAATTTTCCATTTAATGTGCAGTGAGGTGGAGGGTAATTAAGACTTTAGAGTATGGCCTTTCATTTACATTTTTTTCCCTTCCTTTAATTAAGCCACTTGTTTATCATTGTTTACATTTTTCTGTTCGTTGAGCTAACGTTTTCTTAAACCTTACTTTGTTTCTGTATTCACAAAACATTTAGATTAGATAGATGAGCCTCTCTCACCTGTCAAGTTTAGTGGTTAGATAGATGAACATAGCTTTCTTCCCCCTGAGAAAATTGTTATGAGGAGACAATAGTGTTTAGTAAATAACTTGACAAAGTAATGACTCTTTTGTAATAGGAATTTTTATTCTTGTTGATTTATCTGTTATGTAAGTTCAAGTTTTTACATATCTTCTACCTTTTTTTAATTTTAAAAGTGATATATAGTAAATATCAATTTGAACAATACAGGTGCATATAAATTGAAAAGTACTTCAATTTTCCAATCCTATTCCTCAGTTATAATCACAGTTGATATTTTGGTATTTAACTGTATTTTTTCTCTGACTGTTTACTGTGCAGATGTACACTCCCAGTTTTTTGTAGTTGTTGTTAAGTTCATGTAAAAATAGTTTCATACTATATCCATTTTTTTCTGTGATTTTCTTCTTTCATTTAAAGTATGTTTGCTATCATTCCATATATTGTATTTTCTTATATTAGGGCCTTAATATATAGGATATTACAATATCCAGACTTTGGTGAGCAGTTTTGTCTTCTTTGTAAACATGTTTTTAAAATAGAATTTTTGTACACTAAAAGAAAGGATTTGTATTTGTCTCACTCCATTAAGTTGTTTACTGTGAATTTTTGATATGGGAGCCCATTTGGTTACTTGCAAAAATTACTTTGAGTAGATTATATAGTAAGACTCTTGCAGTGAAATTATTTCTTGATTTTTTTCCTCTGCTTAAGTTTTCAGTGGCTTTTGCCATAGTTCTTCTTAAAGGTTTTATAAACATTGAATTTTTAAAATGTTTGCTTAGTATTCCATAGTATGAATGTGTATAGTGACGAACATTTAGGTTATTTTCACCATTATAATTTGCTGTGAATATTTGTGTACATGTACCTTTTGGCAGATATATAAGTATTTTTGTAAAATAGTATCCTAAAATTGAAATTGGATGAAAGGGCATATGCATTTAAAATTAAATAAAATAACTTTTCTTAAATAGTACAGTCTTTTTTTTTTTTTTTCTTTTCCTTTTTGTCTTTTTTCGTGTCCGGCAACGGATTGCAACCCTCAGTGTCGCGCCTGTACCGGACCGGGACCGGCAACGGGATCGCAAACCTCGGTGATACGCCCGCACCTCGCTCAGCCAGTGAGCGGGAACCGGTCTGTATGTGGGATCTGAACCCTCGGCGGGAGCACCGCCACGCTCCCAAGCGGTGCACTGTAGCAGTGCGCCACCGGGCCGGCCCTTTTTTTTTTTTTTTTTCCTTTTTGTCTTTTTTCGTGTCCGGCAACGGATTGCAACCCTCAGTGTCGCGCCTGTACCGGACCGGGACCGGCAACGGGATCGCAAACCTCGGTGATACGCCCGCACCTCGCTCAGCCAGTGAGCGGGAACCGGTCTGTATGTGGGATCTGAACCCTCGGCGGGAGCACCGCCACGCTCCCAAGCGGTGCACTGTAGCAGTGCGCCACCGGGCCGGCCCTGAAATAGTACAGTCTTTTTATATTAAGTCAGCTTAAATGAATGTATTTATGTAAATTAATATATTGAGGCATTAAATAAATGTTCATCATTGTTTACACTTTTAATAAATAAGTGCAAATTTCTATGATAGACATTCTAATAGATTTTTTTTTTCTGTAATATTTGCAGTTTCAAGATTCCCAGTAAATGCTTTGAATTATAAAAGCAATCTTTCAGTATTACAGGAAAACCTTTTTAGTAAACAGATATGCAAACTCAACTTTATGATCATGAGAGAGAATAAGAATATAACAAATGTTATACATATTCCTATGTAAATATAAGAGTACTTCAAAAAGTTTATGGAAAAATAGAATTAAAAAATAATACAAATCTTTCCATTAACTTTTTGAAGTACTCTTGTATTTACTAACATCTCTTATGTAAATTGAGACTAATTGTTAATCTGGTGCTTTGAATTCTTAAAAGTATTTGTATTAATAGTTTATACATTTTTTATCAAGGTTTCTGGTAAAACAGATAAACTTGTTTCTGGTTTTAACTCAAGTTTGAGCGGAAAGTCAAAGGTTTTTGGGGCTTAACAATTTATTTCCATATTTGATGCTCCATAATGTTTTAGATTTTTATGCAGTTAAATATGTCATTGTTTTTCATATGCTTTTTCTCTTTAATCTTTTACTTAGAAAGTAGAAAGGAAAAGTTAAATTATATAAAATTCAAACTGGTCTGAAGCATTTATATAATATATGTGTTTGTTTTTTTGTCTTCTTTTTCTTTAGTTCTGATTGGGAATTTGAAGGTCCGACTATCATCTATTGTCCTTCCAGAAAAATGACAGAACAAGTTACAGCTGAACTTAGGAAACTGAATGTAGCCTGTGAAACATACCATGCAGGCATGAGTTTTAACAAAAGGAAACAGACTCATCATAGGTTCATGAGAGATGAAATTCAGGTGTGATGATTGATCATCAATACTCTCTATTCCCCATAGAAGAAATAGATATTTCTCGAATATTTATTTACTATATTTTATTGAATACTTTCTAAAGCAGTTCCTCTGATAAAGGGAATCAGCATATTCCCATTATCAATATGGGAGATAGGTATGTGAATAAACTGTTGCAGACTAGTATAAATAATAGCTTCTACGTTCCTCTGATAAAGGGAATCAGCATATTCCCATTATCAATATGGGAGATAGGTATGTGAATAAACTGTTGCAGACTAGTGCTTAGGTGCACAGAAGAGGGAATTTTAGCTTTCTCAAGGTAGGTTTTGTAGTGGCATGGTCCATCCAGGAAGATGCAATTTGAATAAACTCTGAACATGTGAATATAAGTTTGTCAAGTATCCCAGACCAATAGGGGATGAGGGAAAAGGAATTGGTTATAGAATTCCAGGAATAAGGACTAGAAGGTGCAAAGACACTGATGTGAGAGTACATACTAGGTTCAGAAAATTGTGACTGGTTTTGGAATGGTTGGAGGGAAAGAGTATGGAGTAGGAATGGCACACAGTATGTGTGTATGTATGTATGGAGAAAGAGGCAGGGAGGAAATGTTAGTCACAGGAAAAGAATTGAATGGGTTGGTTGGCCAGGTTACAGATAGCTTTAAAACTAGCAAAGAAGCAGGCTGGACTTGGTGTCATATGCAAATGAAATTTTATCTTATAGATAAGACAGATTTAAAGTAGTATAATTCTGATTGAAGTTGATGTGAGGGAAAAGAGGGTCTAAGATCCTTCCAGTTTCTAAGACAGTGCCTGTAGGTGTCTTATAATACATAGAGTGCCGTGGAATAGAGTTTGAAAACCATCATGATGGACTGCTGCATGTTTCTGAGTGAGATAATAGTGTAGAAACATTAGACTGGCAACACTATGTAGGATTGATTTGAAAGGGAGAAACTGAAGAAGGGTGTCAGTGAAGGTGTTGTGAAGTACTGCCGCTGAGATTCATGTCGTGATTGACCTAATTCAGTGGGTGTCATAGAAAATATTTGAGAGGATTTAAATTCAAGTCAAGTGAGTAGGTTTAAATCAAGAACTTTACACTTCAACATTATATCCACACTCTGTCACTATAAGCCTGTGGAATAGCCCTCATCTCAAGATAACAGACGAATTTAACTTCAGCTGTGGCATTTTCTTACCAATAGGGTCATTGTTTCCTTTCTATCCAGCCCTCGCTATGATATATAGTTGTTATCCACTCCAAGCCAACATTATTCAAGCAGCTTATCTGTTAAGTATGGTTAGTACATACTATCTGTAAAGCTCACTATGCCTAATCATACTGTAATGCATATCTGCCTGAAAGCATCTAGTCTCTTTTTTCCCCTTCTTTCCAGAGATACGAACAGCTATTACAACTGTTTAGATTATAGGTTTAATCCAAATACTTGAATGTTTATATTTTTATTCTGTTTCCTCAGTGGCTTGAAAATTGTCAGATAAAATTTATTAGCTGCTACTTCTGAACCTTAAGCCTGTCTTCAAGCCATTAACTGACCAAAGGTTTCTTCTATCTTGATGTATTAGTAATTATTCATTTAGACTAAAACATCTTCCAAAGACATGAGAGAATATAAATTTTATCCATGTTATGTTATCATGGGAGACATTATTGGATTGCATCTGATTTTCCTGCCAACACATAGCTTCATTAAAATGTTAATGTTCTGAAATATGGTTTAAAAAGCTTCATAGTGACCATTAATTATATGTAATTTCTAGAAGGGTATATTTATGTATGTGCTACTATATTTTCCCTCTGTTAGGCAGGATGTCAAAAATTTTTATCTTAATTAATATTTATTGATTCACCCAGGCTGACATCACATGTTTTGTTTATCTGACAATTGGCCCAATGTACTTCTTCATTGCCATTGTGAATAATTTAACAGCTTCACATTTGCATTGAAAGTTCTCAAACACTTTCTCAAGATAATTCAAATTCTATATAGAATAGTCTGGTGCTCTTGGAATTGATTACTTGCCATTGAGTATTTATTGAGTGCGTACTGAATGCCTAAATGTTCAGAATTCTAGATGTTTACTTTCCTGTCTTTTTATAGTTGATTTATACTGCAGTGTGGGCCTAAAAGTAGGGCTGATCTCTCTAACTCTTAATATATTGGACTGATTGATGCTTCTAATCTTTGTATTTTCTATTTTATAATTTCAGAAAAAAATACACTTTTCTTTCTAATTATTATAACCAAACCAACCACATTTGGGTGTAGATTTGCGTTTTTAATTTAGTCACTCTTACTTTTAATCCCGACTTTTAGTTTTTGTATCCTTTAGTATTTCATTTGTCATTTCAAGATACTTTGAATTCCTTTCCTTTCTGGAATGAGGTTGTGAATAAATTATTTGATAAAATATCTTTACACCTGAGATTTTATAAGGATGTTTTGAAAATTATGTCTGTAGCATAGGTTGATCTCATTAAAAAATGATATTTTATGATGAAAATTAGAATTATTGTGCTGCTCTTCACTCTTAAATATAACAAAATAGCATAGTCTTATTCAACCAAAGCTTTTACTTACTACTATATTCATTCCTATATTTATTTCTCTCTCACTTTTCTCATACTTCCTTTTACTTGTTCAGCATCTTCCTCCCTCCCTCCCTCTCTTCTTCTCTGTCTTCCTTTTGTATTCCTGGTCCAGCTTAGTGCGCGCGCACACACACACATATGTAATGGCACTTTAATTTTTATCAGTTATGCACATGCTAATAATTCGACCATGTTTATAATGAAAAGCACCAGCCTCCTCTTGCCTTCCCCACTTATATTTCCTTTAGCTGATTCTTTTGGTGTTTATCATTATATTTTGTCATCATTTGCTTTTACTGCTACTCGTTAATTTTTTGTTTATTTATTAGTTTTGGGCATTATCTATTGACTCCCCAATATGAAAGATGAAAGTTTGGCATTCTTTCACATTTTTTACTGCCCTTTTCCTTTCCCTATTGATGCATTTCTAGCTCCCTTTCTTCCTAGTATGTTAATATTATTTTGGTTAGATCAATGTATAGGATTTACACAATTATTACTCTGTAAATGCTTTTTATCTCTAAGCCATGTGGTATATTATGGTTACTTTTCTAGCTTATTTTTGTGTTCTTATTGTTAATACTTTAAAAAAATTTTCTGTGTATTTATCATGAATTTTTCCCTAAAATTTTTCCCAGTCTTATACATCTTACCTCAGTATATTCATACATATTAGGTATTCTACCAATTTTTTTCCTCTTAAAGATACAGAGATAATGCATACATTTTATTCTATCATCTTTAATGAGAAGCTTTCATCTTAGAATGCCAGTCGATACGGACACTCGAAACTCTGCAGTTGATACAGACACTTGAAACTTTATAATACAAAAGTTTCATTCAATACAGTAAATATTTTAAGAGCCTCTTTTGTGTCTTCTATTACAGATGTTCAGAGAAACTACTTTATTTGCTTTTTATAGACAGTGAACATAAATCCTGTTTTATGATCACCAATCCTTAATATGTAAACTGGGCAGATAATCTTTTAATCTATAATTGATTGGTTGAAATTATATAAAATTCAATTTTATGCCAGGGAATTTAGTTAATAAATTATTCTTGCCAAAAAGTATAAATGTATGGTTTTGGTTCTGCTAAATATGTTTGTCAGACTATGATGTTCTTTATTCTCAGTGTGTCATAGCTACCATAGCTTTTGGAATGGGCATTAATAAAGCTGATATTCGCAAAGTCATTCATTATGGTGCTCCTAAGGAAATGGAATCATATTACCAGGAGATTGGTAGAGCTGGCCGTGATGGACTTCAGAGTTCTTGTCACTTACTCTGGGCTCCAGCAGACATTAACTTAAATAGGTAAAAATTTATTTATTTATTGCTTTCCCTTGCAGATTTCTTTCTTTTCTTATCTTATAAGCTTTGAAAGTATTTGAGACAATGTCCAAAATTTCAAGTAATTTGTAAGTACATTAAAAGCCAAACAAAAACTGAAACAAAACAAAAAAAACAGAGGACATCTAAGAAGAGCATTTGTTTCCTTGGTTAGTTCCTTGAGAGCATGCCAGCTCTCTTTGACTGTGTGTGAATAATCGTGTTGCACTGTACTCGTACATTAAAAGCCAAACAAAAACTGAAACAAAACAAAAAAAACAGAGGACATCTAAGAAGAACATTTGTTTCCTTGGTTAGTTCCTTGAGAGCATGCCAGCTCTCTTTGACTGTGTGTGAATAATCGTGTTGCACTGTACTCATAGACTGCCATGAAAATATGTTGTGTTCAGTATTTAAATATAGGGAAACCATTCTACTTAAGTATTAAACAAGTATTTTGTTGGCACTTAAGTTCTGTGAGATGTATGTTGGAAAGAAAGACTTCATCTTGCAAAAATTTTAGGGGCATCATTTACCAACTTATTTCTTCATCCATAGGAAAAAAAATCTCAGGAGAAAAACCTATGCATGGTAACTGATGGGGCTGTCAAGAAGAGATGTTTTCAAAATGTACTACCTCCGTGTAGCTGAACAAATTGAGCTGTTGAATAGACAGACCTATTAGCCCATTTTATCAAAATGATGAGATTTTTTTTCCCCATTATTCAACAATTTTTGTTGAGTGCCCACTGTGTTCCAAGAATTGTGCTTTGTGTTGGGGATACAATGGTAAATAAAAGCATACATGGTACCTGCCTTCACAGAACTCACACTGTAATGCGAACGGTAGATCTTAATCAGAGAATCACACAACTATGGATACATAGAGTTCCCTTACTATTCTCCTTTGCATTTGGAAATTTCAATAATCAAATAAAAAGGGGATCATGCAAGCCAGCTTAAAATGACAATTGTGTTAAATGTTATGAAGGAAAGTGTCATTGAATAGTGAGAGTATATAAAGGCATGTGGTGTTTACCAAGTTAAAAAGGTCAGTTAAGGCGTCCTTGCGGAACTAATAGTTAAGTTGAGATCTGAAAGAATAGAGGTTAATTAGGTAAAAATGTTTGGTAAAAATTTTAAGGTCCTCCTTCTAGGAGTAGTAAGTAGCTTTTGCTTTTTAATGTAAAGACAATAAAACCATCCTCTGTACAAAACAATTCTTGTTTTCCTTTTAATGCTAGTGTCTTTGTCAAGCTTCTTATGAACTAATTTAAAATAATTGGGATAGAACACAGCTGTGCATTTTACTATTAAAGTTGGGATATAGCAAATATAAGTTGATACCTGTTAGTTCTGATGTTATTTGTGCATTATGCTAATGGTGCTAAAGACATTAACAGCCTCAATTTTATATTGTGGGTTTGTAGATTCACCAATAGATATAGTCTGTTTATGTAGGTCTTAAAAGATATTTTAAATGGTTATCTCATTGAGATTGAGCATGAAGTAATAGTGATTAGTAATCAAATAGTGATACCAGACAACCATACTTCAATTTTTAGTACAGATAGATTACTGTTTGCATCAGTCCTGGGGGAAATAAAACTGTAGGGTTAATCAGGATAAAAAAGAATTGAGCAAGGATTGAACATGGATCTGTGACTTGCTGTTGACAAGCCTTTTCTAGAAAAAACCAGAAAGTTTAAGAATATATGAAATTGCTGGTCTTGAACTGAAAGGTCACTGTAATTCACATGGTTGTTAGAGTCTGTCCTACACTAGAATCCCATGACTGAGAGAAGAAACTTGTTCAGTCATCATGTAATCATCATTTAATTTTATATTTCTTCATCATGTAATTTTATATTTCTTATTGCAGAAGCCATATCACAAGCAAAGTTCCAAAGTCTGCATTTGCTGTTAACTTAAACAGTCAAACCCAGTAGTTATTATGATCTTTTTAAATTTGCAAAATAATCTCAATTTAATCTTTCACTGGCTCCAATTTATTTATATTAATGGTATTGTTTTAGAATTTTTCTTGCTTATTGAATTTTTTTGGTTTCTACTTAATTTTTATTTTAACATTTACTTTTACATATTTATGGGGTACAGTGTGTTGTTTCAATACATGCATATACTGAACAGTGATTCACGTAGGGTAGATAGCATAGTTTTGAACCCAAATTTTGTTTGTTTGTCTTGCTGACTGGTAATAGATATTATACCCTGGATCTTGGAGTTATCAGCACCATGCTCTAACCAACTGAGCCAACTGGCCAGCTTTTTCTTGTTTTTCAAATTATTTTTATTCTTTGGAATATTGTGCTTTAACTATTTTCATAGTCCCAAAAGAAGAATAAATATTTATTTCATTTGCTGTTAGAGACTTGTAGTTTTATTTTCTCAAATTTGTTACCGACACTTAAAAGATTAGTGAAGTATAGATTATCTGAATCCAATACAGTAGTCCCCTCTTATCTGAGCTTTCGCTTCCCGAGATTTTAGTTACCCATGGTCAACCTTGGTCTGAAAATATTAAATATAAAATTCCAGAAATATTTCAGAAGTTTTAAATTGTGCCCTGTTCTGAGTAGCATAATGAAAGCTTGTGTTGTCATGCTCCATCCCACCCTTTAGTCGCTTGGTAGCCTTCTTGATTATCAGATCAAGTGTTGTGGTATCGCAAGTACTCATCATGTTCAGGTAACTCTTATTTTACTTAATAATGAGCCCAGAGCACAAGAGCAGTGATGCTGGCAATTTGGATATGCCAAAGAGAAGCTTTAAAGGGCTTCCTTTAAGTGAAAAGGTGAAAGTTATAGGTATGAATGTATATGAAAAAATGTAGTGTATATAGAGTTTGGTTCTATCCTTGGTTTTTGCATCCACTGGGGTCTTGAAACGTATCCCCCATGAATAAGGGGGGAACTACTGTATAATGGAGGATCTAATTCTGAGATTGTGGGCATTTGTTTTCCATGTTCTTTCTATCTGAGGAGGAGGTAAGCTAAGCAAACAAGACCCTAAAATAAAGCATAAAAGGAACTGATTTTTAGCTCTTGAAATAGGAATGAGATTAGATGGTTAACCTAGGAACTAAAGTCAACAGTTGAGACAGTGGGAGAAATTACATGGAAGGGCATGGTGGTTGGTGATGACAAATGACAAGAATTTTTTTGAATAACAGAATCATTTGTATATTCAGACTTTCCAGAACCCCTTGAGAACTGTGCAGAGGTATTTTGATCAGCTAGGAGGTTGGATAGTCAAAATATTAGTAAGTGAAGTTCATTTTGATGAGGATCAGTACTATCACTTAGGTCTTATAGGTAAAGCATTATTTTCTTCTGAAATACCTGAAATCTGTTTAACCCAGACTTTTTTTTATTCTTGGAAAATGTGTACAGCTATTTGGGAGATTGTTATCATCTGATATTTGATATTCATGGAATTTCTTCGTAGAAGATTAGAAATTAACAGAGTCAGGATGAGTTATAGCAGCATTGACTTTTAAAAAAACAACCAAACATGTCTTTAATGTTATTTAACATTGTAAAATAAATTCAGCCTTATGGCAAATAAAAAATCAGTTATAATTGGTTGAGAAAGGAACTTTTAATTCTGATACTTTACTGGTTTCCCATAATATTCCATAATACAAAGAGACTATTTTGGAGAGCTAAGAAGTCTGCTGAAGAGCTAGTAGGATAAAGGCTTATGTTTGGTTCATAAGCCTCTTTCAGTGTTCCTTACATAGATGTTTTTAGTTTCTTAGAGTAGATAAATTATAATAAAGAATAACCTTTTACTGGAAAAAGGTAAAAATTCATATGTAGTAGAAGGCTTATTAGAAGCTGAAAAGCATGTGGCATATAAATCAAAATGCAAAACTTTAGGGTTTATAATAATTTTTCAAAGGCAGCTAAAGAATTGATATTTAGACATAGGCAGAATTCTTTCAAAAGCAACTTTTGTAAAAATCAGAAAAATGTTTACCTTTTGTGGGGACATTGACTGGGAAGGAGCACAAGGGAACTTTGTGGGGTGATAGAAATGCTCTTTACTTTGGTAGGGATGAGTTTTGTAGATTATGAAAAATAAATAGTAAGAAATAAATAAAATAATAAAATTGCTAATAGTTTTACATATTCTTTTGATATTTTTAATTGACAGGTACCGCCTTATTAAAATAGAAAATGAAAAATTTCGATTATACAAATTAAGGATGATGGCAAAGATGGAAAAATATCTTCATTCCAGCAGATGTAGGCGGCAGTATGTATTATTATAGCAATTAATCACATGGGTTTATGGATGGTGCTCTTTTAAGGAAAAAGTTTTGCTTAATAATTAGAAGGATTTTAAAGAAATATTTCATTGGTGTTTCATGTGTGCTGAATTTTTAAGGCAATCAATCTTTGCACCTGAGTAAATTGAAGTCAAATAATGAGGTCCCAGGTGAATCAATTAATGATGATTTCACCTCATTATTTTCAGCAATTAATTTAATATGTTAAATTCATTCATATGTTTTTGTTCTTTTATTTAATTTAAAATTTTCTCTTGGGTAGAATCATCTTGTCTCATTTTGAGGACAAACAAGTACGAAAAGCCTCCTTGGGTATAATGGGAACTGAAAAATGCTGTGATAATTGCAGGTCCAGGTAAAGATTTCTTCTTATAGATTGAATTTCTTCTTATAGATGAACATTCTAAAAGTCTTTGTTTCTCTTCCTTTTCAAATCATGTTTAATTGAATTTTTGTTGAATGATACGTATTTTAGTTTTTTAAACAAAATAATGAATTTATTTAAATATAAGACAAAGCAAACAATATTAGGGTATTTTACTTTACATATATACAGAAAAAGCAATAAAATGATAGATCTAAATCTAAACATATCAATAGTTACATTAAATGTAAATAATCTAAAGATACCATTTAAAGGCATAAATTGTCAGAATTGATTTAATTCTATCCTATGTGCTGTCCACAAGAAATCCACTATAATTATATAAGTAGGTTAAAAAAAAGAATGCAACGTTATATACCATGAAAACACTAATCAAAAGAAAGCTGCAATTATTATTTTAATATCAGGCAATGGAGACTTTAGATTAAAGAATATTAGCAGGGATAAAAAAGGAAATTCATAATGTAAAAGGGCCAATTCACCGATGTCGATGTTGATGTCGCAGTCAGGTTTCTGCAGAAAAACAGGGCCAATGATTTGTGTGTGTGTGTGTGCGCGCGTGTGTGCATGTGTGTGCGTGTGTGCGCGTGTGCGTGCACGCATGTGTGTATGGAGAGGGGTGGGTAGGAAAAGAGGGAGGGAGGGAGGAACTGAGGGGAGAGAGGGAGGAATGCGGAGACTGATTTTAAGGAATTGGCTCACACAATTGTGGGGACTGGCAAGTCTAAAATTTGTAGGGCAGACCAACAGGCTGGAAACTCAGGCAAGACTGATGTTGCATTCTTGAGGCAGAATTCCTTCCTCTTCAGCAAACCTCAGATTTTGCTTTTAAGGTCTTCAACTGATTGGATGAAACTGACACATTATTGAGGGTGATCTCCTTTACTTAAAGTCAATTGATTGTAAATGTTAATCACACCTACAGAATACTTTTACAGCAGCATCTAGATTAGTGTTTGACCAAACTGAACACTAGCCAAGCTGACACATAAAATTAACCATCATGGGCCGGCCCGGTGGCGCACTGCTACAGTGCGCTGCTTGGGAGCGCGGCGGCGCTCCCGCCGAGGGTTCGGATCCCACATACAGACCGGTTCCCGCTCACTGGCTGAGCGAGGTGCGGGCGCAGCACCGAGGTTTGCGATCCCGTTGCCGGTCCCGGTCCGGTACGGGTGCGACACTGAGGGCTGCGATCTGTTGCCGGACACGAAAAAAGACAAAAGAAAAAAAAAAAAAAATTAACCATCACAACCAAGAAGATATAATCCTAAATGTATATATACTTAAGAACTGTAAGAACTGAAAGGAGAAATAGAGAAATCCACAATTACTGTTGGTGACTTCAACATCTTCTCTCAGTAATCGGTAGAACTAGTAGTCAAAAAAGTCAGTAAGGAGATAGAAGAAATGAACACACCTATCAATAAACTGGATCTAATTGACTTTTATAGAACACCCCCCCGCAACAACTGCAGAGTACACATTCTTTTCAAATAATAGATAGAACGTTCATGAACATGGATCATATTCTGGGTAAAACAAACATTAACCAATTAAATAAACCTTAACAAATTTAAAAGTATTGTACTTTTAAGTTTGTAAAAGTATAAAATTTATGCAGTATGTTTTTTGACTGTGTGTAATGGAATTAAACCAGAAAGCAGTAAAAGAAAGGTAACAGAGAAGTCTCCAGACCCTTGGAAATTAAATAACATACTTCTGAATAATCCACAAGTCAAAGAGGAAGTCTCAAGGGAAATCAGAAAATATTTTGAACTAAATGAAATGAAAATTACAAAATGTGTAGAATGCAGCTAATGTAATGCAGAGAAGGAAATTTATAGTAATACTTATAAAAGAAGAAAGGTTTCAATTTAGTAATTAAGTTTCCAACATAAGAAACAAGCAAATAAAAGCAAAATAAACCATAAGTAAGCAGAAGGAAGGAAGTAATACAGATAAGTATAAATCAGTGAAATAGAGAACAGAAAAACAATGGAGAAAAATCAGTGAACGTAAAAGTTTATTTTTTTGTAAAGATCAATAAAATTGATGTCAACCTTTAACAAGATTGATAGGGGAAAAAAAGGAGGCACAGACTACCAAATTCAGGAATGAAAGAGGGAATTTCACTACAGGCACAGACACTAAAGATAATAAGGAAACACTGTAATAATCCATTGCACATAAACTCAATTTAGAAGAAATGAACCAATTCCTTGATAACCTCAAATTGGCAAAACTCACCCACAATGAAACAGATAACATGAATAGTCTGACGGGTCATTAGAGAGATTGAATTCCTATTAAAAAACTCTGAAAATAAAATTCTCTAGTTCAGATGGTTCCTTTATCAAGAAGACATAGTTGTTCTTTGTACCTTAAAAAAACAAACAGAAAAACCCCTACAAATATATAAAGCACAAATTGATAGAACAGCTGGAAGAAATCAACAAATCCACCATCATTGTGGGAGAGTTTGGTATAATTTTTAGTTATTGGTAGGTTAGGCAATCAAAAAATTAGTAAGCTGTAGAAAATTTGGCAATGCAGTACTAAGTTTGATTTATCAGACACATATAGAATCCTAGACTAAGCAACTAGAGCAGTGTGTCTCAAATTTTTTTTTCTTCATGACCCATGTAGTAAAAGATAATATTTGTACAGCACACTGAGCTAATTGTGAGAGTCCAGGTTCTGTCCAGAACCTAAGGTCTGGAGTGAATAACCTTTCAGGACACCTAGAATCCAGTTGCAGCACACTGGGAAGCACTGAATGAGAATCTACACTTCTCAAACATACATGGAATATTTATAAAAATTGACTATGTATTAGAGCAAGGATCGACAGACTGGCTGTGGGCCAAATCCTCTTGCTACCTGTTTTTGTAAAAAATAGCTTTCTTGGAATACAGCCATCTGTTTTGTTGTATGTCATCTGTGGCTGCTTGAGTTAAGTAGTTGCCTACAAAGCCCAACGGTCCACAGTGCCCAAAGTATTTACCATCTGGTCCTTTATAAAAAAATTTTCTGACCCCTGTACTAGACTGTAGCTTGTCTCAAAAATTTTCTGTGAATTGGCATCAAACTCACCATATTTTCTGACCAGAATGCAATTTAATTTAGAAGTAAATAAGAGGATAAACAAAAAAATTCTCATGCATTTGGAAATGAAAAATAACACTTTTAAATAACTCATGATCAAAGAAAAAATCAAACTGGAAATTAAAAAATGTTTAGAACTTAGTGATAATTGCAATAATACATATAAAAACTGGTAAGATGCAGCATAATAGTACACTGTGGGAATTTGGTAGCTTTAAATAGTCATATTAGAAAAGAAAATTAATCAACTAAAGAGGTTAGAATAGGAGAATAAACCTGAATGTAGAGTTTTTCCCCCAAACACATTATTATATCTGGAATATTAAATGTATTCATATTGCTATTTCAAAGATATTTATTATAAGGAAAGCAATTGAATTAGGTAGTTGTACTGTATTAGTTGATTTTCTCTAAGAGGTTTTTTTGTTCTCAGCCTACTTAAAGAATTCTCAGTTGTATTAATGATAATTTCAAATGTATCTGAAGGATGTCTTCGGAATTTAACTTCTAAATATACTTAAGTGAAACGTTTATAATCTTTGTGTCACATTTTATAGTCATTAGAGTTTAAGCTAACAATTTATTGCATAGGAGATTTGTTTTCTTAAGTTAAAAGCTTGTCTCTTTTTTGCTACAAACTTTTTTTTGTCTAGCAAGATCTAACAGAAAAGTCCAATATGTATGTAACTGATCGAGTGAAAATGTTCTAGGTGTAATCCTGCAGCTCTGCCTGCTTGAACTTTTTCCTCTTCTGTCTACAGCTGTCAGCTCCTGTGAAACCTGGCTTCTAGGACACTAGGCTTGAAAACTAACAGCATAACATTTCTGTGATTAGTTTATTTTTCATGTTTTAGATAGTTGTAATGAACTTTATTTGTAGCTTCTGAAGCAGTTGGCACGTTTGAGATATTTTTTTACTTTGTTACACTAAATCTTTTTATTGCTAAAGGGTGCGTGCCTTGGCCACTTTCTTAATATATTATTATTTTTATTTAGATTGGGTCATTGCTATTCCTTCGATGACTCAGAAGACACATCCCAGGATTTTGGTCCACAGGCATTTCAGCTATTATCTGCTGTGCGCATCTTAGGTGGAAAGTTTGGAATTAGGGCTCCAATTTTATTTCTCCGAGGATCTGTAAGTATATCTATGAATCACCTTCATGGTTTATCATTTACTCCTATAACACTTTTTTTAGAGGCTTGCTATATTGTGATTGTAGCTTTGGCTTTAGGTGAGCTATTAGAAACTCAGAGAATCATATTAAGTCATATTAAACACAGCATTCATTACTTTTGACAGAGCTTGTGTGTGTAACATCTGCTGCTGTTTTCATGTTCCAAGCTGATGTTCAGTTCTGTACCTCACTCTGAAAGATTGTATTAGTTTATCACACTGCAGTTGCATGAATCCCTAGACTGGTCTTTCTTAGGATAATTAAGAAAAGTTAACCTGTCAAGGGACAGGTAGGACAAAAATTATATCTTTTTGTGTCTAGGAAACTATTAAATTCTTTGACTAAAACTTTAGTTTCAGGGATTATTTTGTAAATGTCTAAATTCACACTAACAATATTTGGCAGCATACTTTTTTCTTTCCTTCTGTTTCCCATCAAAAGTATTTAAAAGCCTAAGAAAGTTTATTTTTATTTTTATTTTTTACTTTGCCAATGAATAAATAGTTCAATTCAACTACTTTTTTTTTTTTTGACTGATTCATGTGTCAACATTATGCTAACAACTGCAGGCACAGATATGATTAAGACATGACACTTACAGTCAAAGAGCCTTTTCTGTAGTCCATTTGTTTATACGTATGATTTTATTGCTGATTTAGAAGTCTCTAAAGCAAAGCTAAATATTATATATTGATATTAGTTGAATAAATTAAGAGTAGAAGATAAGATACTTTGTAAATATGCATATTTATTTTAAAATAGAGATTAAAATTCTCATTTTGCATGTAGAATTTTAAAAATTATTTAGGTAAGCATTTATTTGTTAAATACTTGTGCTTCACATAAATGTTTATTTTCTTAGTTTTTGTTTGAAAGGAACATATTAAATTAGTTGGTGACCAACAGGCTGGCTGGATAGCTTAGTTGGTTAGAGTGGTGCAGTACCAACAAGGTAAAGAGCTTAGATCCCAGTACTGGTCAGATGCCCAAACAAACAAGCAAACACAAAAATTACATTAGTTGTGAAATAATTTTATTGAAATGTGTTGAAAATTTTTGTTAACTTTTTATGTACTGATGTTTTTAGATTCTGAATGGAGTTTAAAATTTTGATTTTAAATCACGTTTCATTAGAAATCTAATAGTAAAAGTGTTGCTTAAGGAACTTTGGTTTAGCATCTATGAATGATACTATATTTTTTGTAAACAAATTTAAGTTGCAAGATATAGGTTAAATATAATTGAGATCTATGAAAATTTCTTCTGTCTCTGTGACCTTCAAAGCCCGTGTATCCCAGTTGAATGTATAATTTATAAAAATTATCCTTGTTTTAATTTGGTATAATCCAACCATTCCAGTATCAACAAATAAGTGTAAGTGGGCTCCAAGACAAACTTGAACCGGTCACAAGAGGGATTAGATTTCACCTATTATTTGAAAACCAAGTCAGACTGCTTATATGACAGTCTCTTCTGGGAGTCCTCAAATTAAGAAGTTTATCCTTTGTGAAATTTTATACTACCCTTGCTAGATAGAAGTAAAACTTTTTAATAAAGTACCACTTAATGGATATTTGTAGACACTAACTGTGGTACAAATAAGGCAAGTTTTCTTCCCCCATTTCAGTGATCCCAAGATCTACTGGGATATTGTTTAAAAAATTGTAGTTGTATAAATTCCTTTGAGAATTTAGTAAATTGTTCCCTTTAACCAATTTAGGAAAAATTAATATCTTTGTAGGTAATCTTGATTTGTAAAATAAGTGTCTTAAAGTGAGAACTATATATTTAAAAAAATAATATATAAAAAATATATAAAAAATATATTTTCAGCAGCACATGATTCTCCTCTTGTGAAAGATTTTTCTAAATAGTGTAAGTAATTCTGTAATCTATCCAGGAGTTTGTGAGTGGAGTTTTAAATTTTATTTTTAAAGTACAAGTTTGATTAGAAATTAAATAATAAATGTGTTGCTTGAGGAACTTTGTTTTGGCTTTCTAAACAGCTCACCATATAAAAATCTTTAAATACCCTGTGTAAATGTGATAAGATGTGCAATGACCTTAGTTTTATAGATTAGAAAACAGAAACATAGTCATTAATTTGCATTACCAGGAGATTAGGTGAAACCTTTTTCCTGATCACATTATCAAAGTGCTAAAACTTATTATGGCCCCAGAATTAGATAACACTCTTGATAAAATATGATTTGACTATAGGCAGCTATTGAAACTGATGGTAGTTTTAATCACCCTTTATAATTTTCAAACTATCTAACAGGAGAGGGTTATCCACGTAATTTTCTGGACATACTACTTCACCTGATTGAAGTATATTCCTAGAGATAATTTTTTATTTTTGTTACTCTATCTTTTGGTTTTATTTTTCATGTAAAATAACAGCTCAAAATGATTTTCTGAAGCACTTGAATGGCAGCTGTGAGCTTCTTTGGCCTGTAGGAACTGGGAAAGAGACAGAAACAAAACAAGAAAAATGAAATGTTTACAAAAGCTATGGGCTTGTTTTGTATATTAAGAACTTAAGGATTTAAAACTTCTTGAGTTGGAGTTTATAACTATTTTTTCACTAGTTCTTAAATATCTCCTTTTGTGTAAGGTGCTATCTTATATTTCATGGGGGATCCAAAACTAAATTAGATGAGATTTATCATTTAGTATGGAAGGTGTTCCTTAGGAAGAAATAATTATAATGTAGCATAGAAAGAGATAAGGGACATATGAAGAGACTTGAAGTATAATTGAAGTTCTGAAGAGACAGTGCTTTGGGAAATTAGAGAAGTCTGTGAAGGTATCACTGGAGCTTTCTACTGTATTTTGTGGGGGATGTAGTTGATTTGGCAAGAGATAGTCAATTTGGACATTCAGAGACAGAATGAGAGAAGAAGGGTGGAGGAGAATGTGGCATTCCCAGCAGAATTACTATAAAAAGCAATTGTAATTTTTAAAATAGTTAATCTGGACAAGTGGCAAATTATTTTTTTATTTTTGTTTTTTCTCCATCAGGTACTGGTGCAAAGATTTTACTTTTATCAGAAAATTACACCTTGGGTTGTGTTCTGTTTATTCTAACACCCATCAATTAGTACATTTCCCCATTCCACAATATGTCAGTTTTGGTGACCCATATTTTTTTAACCTGATTTTTAAAGGAAAAGATTGAGACGAAAATTTCCCTTTTGAGACTGCATCCCATAGAATTATAGACTCTTAGAACTAAAACTGGCAAAAAGACTATTTAACCCTATCACTTTATTTTACTGTAGTTGAAACCGAGTTAAAATGAAAGGTAAATGATCTGTCCTAAGTCATACTGTTAACATAGTTCCAGAATCAGGATGAACAAACAGCTTTCCTCACTACTAGTCTAGTGTTTTTTCCATTTATTATGCTGTTGCATGCATTTTTTTTCTTTTTTTTAATTTTTATTAAAAGTGATTATACATATTTTGGGGGTTCAGCATTGACATATGTTGATCAAATCAATATTGCTAGCATATATATTGTTACAAATTATATTTATTCTTTATGCCCCTTGTCCAATCTCACCCCATCCTCCACCCCTTCCCCCATCCCCCATCTAATTACCCTAGATTTCTTTTCTTCTTCTGAAAGAATAATGGTTACTCTGTTGATTTGTTGCGTAGATGATCTGTCCAATGTTGAGAGGTATGATCAGGTCCCCCAATATTATCATAGAGCAGATGCTGCTTCTGTCACTCTGAAATGGGCCTTGTGGGGAGAGACATCCTTTTCTTTATCTCTGCTGGTGACTCTCCTTGTGTCCATGCACTCCAGTGGCTGGCAGACCATCTGTGTGGTTGTGGTGTCTAGCCGCTTTTGCGGCAGCCATGGTTGCTGTGGTGGCTGTGGTGGGCCACCCACATGGATATAAAGTTTTTGGCATGCTCCTTGGTGCAGACAGTGTGCCTGGTTGTGGGAGGAGAGTCCTGTTCCCGGATCCATGCCTCAAGTCCCCAGGTAGGCCCCAAGGCACTGGTGCAGTGTGCCTGGTTATGGGAGGGGGATCCAGTCCCTGGCTCCAAGCCTCGGGTCCCTAGGCAGCCCACGAGGTGCTGGTGTGGTGTGCCTGGTTGTGGGAGGGAGAGTCCAGTTCCCAGCTCCATGTTTTGGGTTCCTGGGTGGGCCCCAAGGTGCTGGCACCGTGTGCCTGATTGTGGGAGGGGATCTGGTCCTCAGATCCATGCCTCAGGTCCCTGGGCAGGCCCTGAGGCACTGACTCAGTGTGTCTGGTTGTGGGAGGAAGGTCCAGTCCCCTTCTCCATGCCTTAGGTCCCCAGGCAGGACCCGAGGCACTGGCTCAGGAAGTTCCTGGTTGTGGGAGGGAGGTCCGGTCCCCTTCTCCATGCCTCGGGTCCCTGGGTGGGCCCTGAGGCAGAGGTGTGGTATGCCTGGTTGAGGGGAGAGGGCAGTTTTAAATTTATAATTTTTAGTGGAATGATCTAGAGATACAGAATGAAGGTTTGTGGTTGATAAGAGACGTGTGTATAAAATTGTGCACGTCTTAATAATTAATACCCAAGTCCCTATATTCATCTATGGCAGCTTTCTCATCTTAGGCAGTTTTACTCTGTCAGTGAATAATCTGGAAAATTGAGTTAAACTAGAACACTTAATTAATGAAAGATGCTTTGCTCAGAGTGAGAAATCATTAAATATTTGTTGTTGAGAATCCTTACTGTATTCTGTTTCAATTCTTTTTTTAAAAAAATGTTACTTGGTTCAGTTTGGATTTCTAGTTCAAAAGGGAATATGATTCCTTTAAAACAAAGATGCTCTTTCTGCATGTTGATTGCCATGGAAACAAGACAATGTAAATTTATTCACATAGTATACAGTATTCACAATAATTATTGATCATGAGGGAAAGGGAGGCTAGAAGAGTACTTTTTGGTGTCTAGAGAGCTGGTAAGTGCTAGTTAGGCAACTTAATACCTTTGGTGTTATTAGTTTGCAAACATTAAAATCTCCTACTACAAAGGTAAGCCCATAGCAGATGTAGAGTAGCATTAGTAAGTGTTCCAGTGAAAACTGACTAAATATTAAGACATGGTTTTTATGCTTAGGTTAAGAAATTCAGATTGAGTTAAAGGATCAGCTGTTAACTAATAAAAGGAAAGTTAGTATTACTGAGCCAGGCTTTGTCCTGGTTACTCACTTAATCTTCACAACATCCCCAAGAGATAGAAGCTGTAATGATACTTGTGCATCAAATGTGGAAATAGAAGCATAGATAAGTAACTTGCCAGAGCTATGACTGGAATACAGGTAAAATCTAGGTCAGGAGCCTGCACGTGTATGTATATTGGTGTGTGTGTATGCTTGTGCATGCGTGTGCATGGTATAGTAGTAAAAAGTTAGAACTACTAGTCTGGAGGCCTGTCTGAAGGCCAGTGTTCTAGCCCTAGCTGTAGTACAAATACACAGTGTGACATTAGGCTACCACTTAACATCTTTGAGCCTCTGTTTATTAGCAATATGAGTAAAAAATGACTAAGATAGATCAAAGAGCTCCAGCATTCCTTCCAGCTCTGAAATTCTACCATGTTTTATTTTATTTATTTATTTATTTGTGTAGACAAATTTTTGAGTATATTTAACATATACAACTTGATGTTGTGGGGTGCATATATATAGTAAAATGGTTACTATAGTGAGGGAAATTAAGACTTCCGTCATCTTACATAGTTATTACCTCCCCATTTTTATGTGACAAGAGCAGCTAAAATCTACTCATTCAGTAGGAATCCCAAATACAGTACAACTTTATTAACTATAGTCCTCAGTTTGTACGTTAGATCTGTAAATTGTTCGTCTTATATATATGATGTTTGATTTTAAACATTCTACTCAAATCAACCCATAGTCAGGTTTAGCACAGAGAGGAAGTGTTAGCAAAGAAAAAGGTGCCATGTTGTACCTGGGTGTTTATATTTCTCTAAATCTTGTTCTAATAACATTTTGTAAATATAATCATGATGATACCAGAGTTCGTTATTTAACCACTTTAATAAAAATAGTCCTATTTCTATTTTTTTTTAAGATTCAATAGAGAGCATGTTGCAGACTCTGTTAACTACACCTATCGGAAACATGTGTTTGAAACTTAGTTACCTAGGCACTGCTGTTTGTGTCTCTGGCGGGAACTTATCCTACTTTACCTAATTTTATCCTACCTTCCTTTGTGAAGGAACAGCCTTATTTAGGCTAATTTTTGTTTCTATTTTTTTTTAAGATTCAATAGAGAGCATGTTGCAGACTCTGTTAACTACACCTATCAGAAACATGTGTTTGAAACTTAGTTACCTAGGCACTGCTGTTTGTGTCTCTGGCGGGAACTTATCCTACTTTACCTAATTTTATCCTTCCTTCCTTTGTGAAGGAACAGCCTTATTTAGGCTAATTTTTCAAATTTATGCCTTATAAATAGTAGTAAATGACATGTATTAATATTTATCTATGATCTATTTTTATTTGCAGTCATATACTTGGGAAGATCTTCAAATATTAAAGTGATATATCTTTGCATTTAAGTATGTCATTGTTGTTCTATCTGTTTTAGAATGCTTGTATTCACATGTTAACATTCCAAAATGATAAACCTGTAACCATAACATTCTTTTCAGTTGAATAAAACCAATACGTTCATGATAGAGAGCTTTGCAGTTGCCTAAGTTAGGTCTGCTGCAACTCATCCTATGTATTCTTTTAATTTTGATCCCTGGATTTTAATACACATTGATTGTTAAGCTTTTATTAGGGTATATAGACAAAATGTAAAAATGTTGAATTATAGTCTGCCTGTTCTAAAATTTTAGACTGCATCTTATATTGACATTTTTAGGATACAGTAACCTCAACATATTCAAGGGATGAATGTTTTTGAAACATGACTATAACCTAAAACATAGCATTTGTATAAGAAAGCTCATAATCATGCTAGCTAATTTAAACTGAAAGGTATTTATTACTGAGTATTAAGTGGCTTATGTTATTGTTGACAAAGTTGCACTAAAAAATAGTCCACCAAGAGAGTTTCTGCCTCTTTTATGATCAAGAAGCTATCTGTCAATTTGGGAAGCTGCCACTACAGTACTGTACTGAGTAGGAAGCTGTAACAATCAGGAAGGTTCTACCTCTACTTGCGTGGAGAACTAACCTGCACCTGCTACAATCTATTGTCAACAAAACGGATGCCTCTTGATGCCTATGAAGATAGTAGTAGTTGTATGCTGGGTTTTTTGCTAACTTTTCTTGGAAAAAAGCAAACACCTCCACAATCATGCATTTCTGCAAAAATAGCAGAGGAGTAGCCTTTTGCCTTATTTCCTGCCGATACATGTCATACAAATATACATCAGATTAGTGGAACTTAAATCACATCCAGAACCTAGCTGCAAGGAAGTTTGAGGAATAGTGTATTGTAACTTCCCAGATTCTGCAGTTGAAGAAGTCACAGTGGATGGAGATTTGAATGATCCTTGGATTAGTCTGCTGTATTCACCACAAATATATTAGATAGCAGTAATTTTCCATAAAGCCCTATGTTCATATACTGCCATACACAAAGTAGTATTAAAATGTGCAGGATGAATAAAAGAGGCAGTAAGAGGGCACAGGGAATGGAAAAGTACTTTATAGAGAGTGAAGGTGGGGAGAGTTCTCTTCATTAGAACAAAAGAATTGCATATGACAGATTAGCTTCCCAAACATTTCTAGAACTCAATGGCTATGAAGAATCTCCCATAGGAATTCCCTCGTCACTTAGGAAAAAATATCTCAAAACCATCAACCGTTTAGCATGTACCTGCTTTTACTGGTATATCTCCGTGAAACAGCTAAATCGAGAATCTCCCATAGGAATTCCCTCGTCACTTAGGAAAAAATATCTCAAAACCATCAACCGTTAGCATGTACCTGCTTTTACTGGTATATCTCCGTGAAACAGCTAAATCGTAAATGATTAGGTAAACTTTGCAGTGCGTCATGAACAAAATCACAGTAACAACCATGCAGTGGAAACCGTGAGTTGTTGCACTGCACTCGCTGATGAGTAGCTATTAGGTCACACTGCCTTTTAACAAACTCAGTGGTTTGAGTCTTGAGCTATAGGTTATGATCACCATTTTCAAATAATAACATGAGTATGTTAATCAGAGGTCTAAATGGCAAAGGTTAAGTGTTCCAAACACATGCAAACCTATATGTTGGGAAATGCATCTGAATTATTTGTGAAATTTCCTGCCATTATTTAAAACACAAAAGGAACACTATTTTAATTATATATTTATGAGTTGAGTGTTCAGAACAAGCAGGATGGTTATAAATATTTTGTAGCTTTTTAAAGATGAAATTTAGGGTTAAAGACAAAGAATCAATAGATGTTTTCCTTAACCTGTTTAATTAAATAAGCATTTTTAGATATTGATTTTATTCCTAATTTCAGAATTCTCAGCATCTTCCAGATAAATATCGCAGTCACAATTTCTTTGGTGCTGGCAAGGATCGAACAGAGAGTTGGTGGAAGGCTCTTTCTCATCAGCTTGTTACTGAGGGATTCTTGGTACAAGTTCCTGGATGTAGCAAATTTACAAAGATTTGCACCCTTACAAAAAAGGTAAACAATTGTAGAAGTCTTACCTGTTTAACTTAATTTTTCTTATTATGCATTAAAAGATTCTTCTTTCTTTTAATAGGGCAGAGATTGGCTTGATAAAGCTAATACAGAATCTCCTCAGACACTTATCCTTCAAGCTAATGAAGAACTGTATCCAAAGAATTTTCCTCTGCCAAGGTTTACTTTTCAGTTTTTTTAACTTCTGGGTTTTTTGTTGCTATTAAATGACTCAAATTATACCAATTTACAGGCACTGTACAGGTAAAATGAGTAACCTGTTTGCTTTTGCATACTTATTTTAGTCAGTTTGGGGGCAGAGGTCTGTGGCAGAAAGATGAATGTTAGAACACTTTCTTTCTTTTTTTTTTTTTGAAAAGATGACCGGTAAGGGGATCTTAACCCTTGGCGTGGTGTTGTCAGCACCACGCTAACCCAGTGAGCTAACTGGACATCCCTATATAGGATCCGAACCCATGGCCTTGGTGTTATCAACACCACACTCTCCCGAGTGAGCCATGGGCTGGCCCTAGAACACTTTCTGGGTTGATGGGAAGTAGCTGCTCATCGTTCGTATTTAGAAAGTTTCTTTTCCACTGATGAAAGCAGCAGCATTGAGATCACTGCTGATGAACACATATACCGTATTTCTTTCTTATGTGTAAAAGGGGAGGAATAGAATACACTTGTTGCCTATTTTTAGTATCTTTACATATTATCGATCATTTATGAGTTTTTTCTTTCAAGCTTCTTAAACCTTCCAGAGCTTTTTCTGGAAAAAAAATCAATTTTAAAAATGGTCAGTTCTAAGAAGGTAATATAATCTCATCTACCTTTCTGAGAGTGTGAGTAGGATGATTAATAAATTTGATAATTGCATTTTAACGTTTGAGATAATTGAATTTTACTCTTTTTCAGTTCTAAAACTATATCTTTGGGCACTGAACAGCATTCCTCTAATCAAGTACCAATTGAATTAACTGCGGAGAAGAAGGTTTGTTTTAAAGAGGTAGTTCTTATTTATTTCATTCTATAGTGATTTAACTCCTGTTTTAAAAATTTATATTTTAATTCCCCTCCAATTAAAGAGAAAAGTGGTATATATAAGAAAACAAAATATGGAAAGAGAACTGATACAAACAGACTAAAATACCTGGTATATGATTTCTGGGGCTAATAGAAGAATTGAAAGTATTTGAGAAAGTAAATTATTTTGATTCTTTAAAGCCTGTCTTGTAACTCATTTGGCTTAGAGTTTTTACATATTATAATATTTATAGTTGATAGAAAAATAAGCCTGTTTCTTGAATGTTCTCATTAAATCTGCGCGCGCACGCGCGCGCGCACACACACACACACACTTTCTTGCTTTGTTTTGGATCTTAGATAACTATTACAGATTAAATACTAACCCACAGGCAGACTTCAGCTAGTTAGAGCTCTGGGATAATGGACAAATGTGGTGAATTCAATTTTCTGGTTAACTTTTTCTGCTTTATTAAAGTATGCAGAATATAATTGAATCTTTTTGTACTCTTGCTGTGTTTTAGAGCATTCTTTCGATCATTTATTTTCTATAGTTTTGGGAGGAATGGAACATTGGGGTGCATTTCTAACTGCCTTTAGATCCCTAGTTGATAATTCAAGAGCTTATTTTCAGGTGATTTATTTGATGACTTGGTTAGTCAGCAGAAAAATTGTCATTGTGAGGTTTTTTGCATCTTATTTTCTTCACATCTAAAAGTTCTTTGAAACTTTTCATTTTTTGATGGACCCTCATATGTTTAAAAGCAGTCTAACTTGGAGAAGATGTATTCTTACAAGGCATTTGATAAGATTTCTTCTGGGAGTGACATTCGTAAAAAAAGGTACAGAGTTCCAAATTTTTATTTTCTATACTCTTTATCAATACTTTTTTTCCTTCCTAAAGATGTTGGGCTATTTCATTGTCAGAAGGAAGTTAAAATTAAAGCATAATCATTTAGTATTACAATTATTAAAGCAGACTTACAGAAGGATAATATTAATACTAATTTAATAGCTAACAGTTCTTGGGTATTACTGTTTGTCAGGCTTTATGTTAAATGCTGAGCACTTCATATGCAATATCTCATTTAATTCTTACAACAACCTATAAGTTAGCTACTATTATTTATCCCCATTTTACAGTTGAAGATACCAGGGTTAAGAAGCTAGCTAACTTGTTCAAGAGCATATAGCTAATGGAAGAGCTGGCTTTCAAGTCTGTATTTGTCTGTCTCTAGCATTAAAACACTATTTAATTATATTTGTAGGAAATATATACATATTTCCTACAAATATAATTTTCAAAAAAGGTATTATGGCAACATAAAATGGTAGATTTAAGAGTTGGTAGAGAGTAAAAGGTAAGGTACCAATTATTCTTTTAAACTTAGTTTTTCACTTGCTGACTTAATGAAAGTGTGGAAAGTGTATAGAATTACAGAACATCTGAAGATAGAGAATTTGAAAAACATGTCAGAGCTTAAATGGACTATGTTTATATTCATGTCAGGTCAAAGTAAATTAATGTGCTCTAAGGCCGTTATGCACTTTTAATGGTTTGCTCGCTTAGATAACACTACTTTGGATCTGACCAAATGTTTACCATATTATCAGTCTCCCACCCAAAATAATTTCTTTTTGTTTGGATATGTTGTATGGGATTACTATGTTTTATGTAAACAAAAAGTTTTAAGGAGTATGTAAAACAATATATCCATTCAATATGTTGAAGCATTTCTTCATTTAAACAGTTGCTATGTTTTCACTAGGCCTCTTCTTAGTGCCAGATCCCATTGTGGGCATTGAGATTCAGTGGGGAGTGATAGAGACAGTCACTGACCCTCCCACAGTTTATATATCCCACACTCTAGTGGGATATAAAGGGATGAGAACATAAAATTGCAACCCAGGGTTATAACACTTTGGAAACATATAGAGGCTTAGGCAGGGCTTCCCAAAAGAAGTGACACTTGAAGCTTAAGTAGAAGTTAGGTGAAGTGAGGGGAAGTCTTCTCAGCAGAGGAACGGCCCACATACAAAAACCTGAAAGCAAGAGAGGGTGTGACATGACTGTGGAACTGAACAGGACGGCTAGAGATCACCTGGTGGCGGGAGGCAAAGGAATGGTGAAATTTAAGTCTGGAGAATTAAATAGGGGCCAGAATATCCAGTTCCTTCCAAGTACTCTATTTGATTATAAAGGCAGTTGGGATCTAAGGAAGGGTTTTAAGCGGAACAGTGACATGATCAAATTTATGATTTAGAAGAGAGGTTCATAAACTTTTTCTGTAAAGGATCAGACAGTAAATATTTTTGGCATTGGAGCCAAAACCTGTGTCACAGCTACTCACCTTTGCTGTTGTAGCCTTAAAGCAGCCATAGATGATATGTAAATGAACGAATGTGGCTGTGTTGCAGTAAACTTTATTTATGGACACTGAAATTTGAATTTCACATAATGTAACATGTCATGTAGTGTTCTTCTTTTTACTTTTTTTAACCATTTAAAAATGTAAAAAAACATTTGCAGCTTATAGGCATTACCAAATAGATGGATTTGGCCTGTAGACCCTGATGTGCTCTGGCTATGGAGGGAATGGATTACAGGAGGATCAGGGCTGTTGTAGAGACACAAAGAGGCCGTTGCAGTAGTATTTGCAAGAGGTGATGTCAGTACAGATGAGGGAAGTAGCAGTGGCATGAAGAGAGATTTGTAAGATATTTAGGAGATAGAATTGTTAGGTCTTGGTGATTGAAAAGATAGGTGGGTTAAGGAAAATGGAGGACTCAAGGTGAGTTTAGTTTCTGTCTTTGCTGGGTAGTGTTGTCTTTCCCTTTGCTGGGCAACAGAAGAGGAGGAACAGGTTTGAGGGATTGGATGTCTAAGGGATGAGGCGAAAATCAGGAGTTTAGAGATAGACTTACCAAGTTTGGGATACCTGTGGAGTGGTCCAGAAATTAAATGTATAGGCTTAGTGTACAGAAGAGAGCAGAATGCTTATATATCAATAACTGCTATTTTAAGAAAAGCACAGAGGGAAAAATACCGCATGATCTCAGTCATATGTGGGAGCTAAGAGAAAGAAAGAAGGAAAGAAAGACCACAGTGGTGCGTTGTACTTGCAGAGGGAGAGAGTATACCTAGAGATACAATGTGGAGTGGGGGGGAAAAGGGAGGGGGAGGGAGGTGAGGATAATTGGGTGGGGGACACAGGGTATAAAAGCAATTTCTGGTAATGGGTATGCTGCCAGTATGAATCTGGCCCTCACATCATGCCACAAGGGGTGACAATCAGCTTTGTAGCTCATGAATATTCATTAAAAAGAAAAACTTACTATTTTAAAATTTATTTACATTTTCATTAAAATAATACATGTACATGGTTTAAAAAGTCAATTAGTACTTAAAGGCTTATAACAAACCACACTACACCCTTCCCCAAACCCACTTTGTTCTTCTCTACAGAAGCAGTCACTCACTCGTAAATCTTCCAGCTGATTTCTCTGGCATTTGCTTCAGTATTTCTAAATGACATGCTTAGGCTACTGTTTTTTGACTTAGCAATTTTAGAAATTGATGTCCTATTGCGGTAGATTTCCCCTCCTTTATCCACCCCCTCCTTTATCCACCCCCTCCACCATAATTATAAGTTTGGTTATATTAATAATTCACTTTTGAATTATTATAATAATATTATAATGATTTTACATTATTATAACTACACATATTATATACTACTAAGCCAAACTGGGTGCCACCGCTACCTTTATTTCTTCCTCGTGTTAATAATTGTCTCCCCCCCCCCCCTTTCTCTTGGTTTTTAATGTTCCTTTTATTAATTTTTCTTCTCTCCTATTTAGTCTCTTTTTGTTTTTTTACTTTCTGGGGAGTTCCTTCACTTTTTATTTACTTTCATCTAGTGAAATTTTAATTTTAGTTATCAAATTCTAAAAACTCTTTTTTCTCTTGTTTCTTTAATAATGTGTAATAGTGTTTTCTTGTTTCATGGATACAGTATCTTCAGTTTTATCTCTGATAATATTCATTATAGTTATTTTGAACTCTTCTGTATACTTGTAATAGCATTCGTAGGCACATTTTTTTATTAAACTTTTCTACATGTATTTCTGCCTTGGGGATGTGTTACCCAGAATTTTGCCAGTATATATGATAACAAAATTCCTTTGTGAAATAACTTAAAATACCATTTTGCAAATAATACATTAGTATAAAGATTTCCATAAATATTAGATAAATATTAGTATCTAATTTGAAACAAATTTATAATTTTCTTGAGTAACCTGATATTACTAATTCTTTGAACTGGAGTTATTGTTCCTCAGATTCAAGTCTACTTATTTTAGTGATAAGACTTAATAATTGTGAAAATTAAATCTTACTTTACACTGTCATGTCTGAATTCTTGCAACAGAGAAATTTATAAACATTTCTTAAATGCCAAACATGTTCTCCCCCTTCTCCCAAGAAGCAAGAATTTTAAATTTGACATCTTTTCTATAGGCCATTCTATACAATTTCATTTTTATAAACTTTTCTACTTACAATTAATTTATCAATGAGAAGTGCCTCTTGTAGAAATTGATTTTCTATCTAGTTGGCTGCCTAGCACCTTTCATGTTGTTTGCTCATTGGGTGTTTTTTCTCCCTCTTTTGAGGAGTCAAAAACAAAATGACTTCTTTTGCCGTATTTTTGATCGTTTGATTTTGAAGAAAATTCTGAATAACTTGATTAATCCCTTGCTGATGTTCCCCACCAACCAAAAATCAGTGATGTCAGTGAACAACAAATGTTCATAGACCGTATAAAAACCTGTTATAACCAATATGTTAAAAAAAGTTATCTTCGGAATGGATAAGAAGTGTTTTCTTTGAAAGCGTTTGGTTAAGGAGGAGAATAGACAAATGCTGTTTTTAAGTACATCAATTTCGTGTTGAGCTCAAATTACAATTTTAAGTTTACCATTATAATGAATGTATTTGATCCAAAAATGTTTAAAATCTGTGCTAATGTCATTTTAGTAACAAATTACCTTACAGTTATTATGAAGAGTAAATGTTAGTACTGACTTGTAAAGTTACTCTCATTTTAGGGGTGATAAAAAAAGTTAACTAGGAGAAAGAAAAACTTTTATTATTTATTTCTTTTAAATATTTTAGTATCATGGTGCAATCACCAGGAAAGTGTTACAGTTCCTCAAAACCTGTTATTTCAGCCCAGGAACAGGAGACTCAGGTAAGACTTGGTAATTCATTTATGAGAAGATAGTTACAATTCCGTGCATGTTTAAAATTTTGTTACCAGCATTTTAAAAATCATTCCTTAGCTGAGAGTCTGAGATAGTTTGTTTATTTTCTTCTTAGGGGAAAATGTGATATCTGAAGCACTAAAAATAAAGGACTGGATTTTTCTAAGTACCTTAAAAAAAGTATTGTTTTTTTTCTTTTTGCTCAGACTACGTTATATGGCAAATTGGTAGAAGCTAGGCAGAAACATGCCAGTAAAATGGATGTTCCACCAGCTATTCTGGCAACAAATAAGATACTGCTAGATATGGCCAAAATGAGGTAAACTATCTTTGTATACATTCTGATTTATTTTCTTATAACATAATAGATTCATAAAATATATCATTAAGTGATAATAGACCATGGCTTCAATTGTCACATCTGTGAGGTGACTCCCACATCTCCCATGCTGCTATGCTGATCTCTTTGCTGAGCTTTAGTCCTACGTTTCTTATGAATGAAAATCAGCTTCGTTTTCAGCAATCAGATTCAGTATAAATACGCTCTAACTCATTGGCTATCCACCCTCCAAACACACACTTCATCCAAATGCCAAAACTCCTTTTTGAATTCTTTATTTTTGCTAGTCATACTATCACATTCCTAATTACACGTGTTTAAAATCTCTAATGTTATTTTCACTCCTCTAACATATATATCCTTCTTCCTCTTATTTAAATGGTTTTCAGAACTTTTTGTTTAAATGTTCCATGTAAATCTGTCTATACCTTCCTGCCTCTTCTTAGTGACACTGTGTTAGTTAAGACCATTTATCCTCGGCCTGTTGCAAAAGCCTAACTGTGCTCTCTCTCTCTTGCTCTCTCGCTCTCTAGCTCTCTTCTCTCTGTCTCTCTCTCCATCTGATATATGAGTACCAAATTCATCTTCCTTTATCATATTGTACTTCTGCTTAAGTGGTTTCTCACTGTCTTAACTTGTTTAAAATTCAAGACCCTCCATTTATGGCCTTAAACCTACTTTTCCATCCAAGTCACATAATTTGGAATGGTTTATCTTACCTGGATTGTTTACCATTTGTTGAAAACTCCTTTTCAACTTCCATTTATTTAGTTACATTGTAGTTTCCTTGATTCCTCAAAACTCCTCTTAAGAAATCCTTCAGGATCTAGCTTTATTATTATTTCCTCCATAAAGTCTTTCATGGTTTTATCAGCAAGGTAATTCTTCTACTTTGAATTCATAAAGGACTTTTAGATGAGTTTTAAAGATGCTTCCATAGCACACAATGCTTTATTTTACTTTTTTTAATTAGTGGTAGACATGAATTATATATCTTCTAAATTTTAAACTCTGTGAATAAAGATATTAGTCCCTCATCTCTTTGTGTCTCCCACAGCAGCTAGCATAATGCCTAATAAATACTAGCTGGGCAATTAATATTTGGAAAAAATTATTTCCAAAGAATAGTTGCTTGGTAGTTGTATTCATCATTATGCTTTCTTTTAAAAAATTATTTATATCACCAAAGTTTACCAAATAGATGTTGCCTTAGTGCAAAATTTTCTAATGATATTACACAGTGCCTATATCTTACAATAGTTATTTAATTAAAAAATAAATATTCTAAGACCACACTTTAATATTCAGAGAAGATATTTAAGGAAAAAGACTAATCATTAGATCAGCAGATTTTTAGAAAGAAGATGTCATATGGTCTCTTGGATATTAGACCCAATAAGAAATACTGAATTAAAAGCCTAAAGTAGTAAACAGTTTTACTGTTACAGGTAAACACCTTGCAGAAGAAAATAATGAATAAGACTTTCTTCTGAAAGTTTCTTAGCCTCTTAATTATCCTCAGTTAGATACTCATAGTTTCCTTTTTATTTCTATAAAGAAATAAAATCAGTATTAGTGAAACATTAGGTGTTCACCTGTTCTTTTATAATAATGGCCTATTTACCAGTTTGTACTGTGTTTTTGTGGTGATGGAGGGAGTATTGTTTTTATTCTTAAATTGTTAAAACAGCAAATCTTTAAATAATGGAAAGCAAAGAAAGAACTTATAAAGCGTGATTGCTTGTATTAGACATTGTTTTGGTTGTTGGAAAAAAACGTTTACTGAATTATGTCAGTATGAAGCTGAACATCAGCTATATGGCTAGAGTGATACTGTTTCAGTGATTTCTTGACTTTTTTTTCCCCCCAACAACAGACCAACTACGGTTGAAAATGTAAAAAGGATTGATGGTATTTCTGAAGGCAAAGCTACTATGTTGGCACCTTTGTTGGAAGTCATCAAACATTTCTGCCAAGTAAATAGTGTTCAGGTAAAATATTGTTCTTTGCAGGAGCTCTTAGAGAATATGCATTTTTTGACCATTTCAAAAGCACCCTTCAAAAGTAACATTTTCTCCCTTTATTTGCATTTCTATACTGACATTTAGAAAATGAATTCAAATCGTTTCTACAGTAAATTGTAAAAACATGTTAGTTATCTACTTTTAAAGATGATACTAAAGTAGTTGTCCTGGCCGTTCATAAGACATATTTCTATTTTACTGGTAAGTTTTGTTTTTAAATTTGAATAAGTATTATATTTTAGGGTGATAAATTCTAATTTTTACTTTCAAATGTGGTAGTTAGAAATTAAAGCTACAAAGTTATTCTTGCTATCAGTTTCTAAGGAGCTCAGCCACTTTGTTTTTCTTACTGTTTGGCATATTCTGTAATTACTTTTCCCTTCCAGTTAATGCTGTCTTATCGTATTAAGTAGATTTCATGTTATTCTCTTCAGTCTTAATCGTGTTTTATAAATATCATTTATTACTTCTTCCTCCACCCTTACACACAGACTCTATGCTGTACACTCCAGCACAGAAGGTAAGGGAGTATGAGGTAGTGGAAAGACTATTGGACTCGCAGTTAGAGAATCAGAATTTTAATTTTTCTGTAGTTTACTTCACGAACCTGAACATGTTCTTTAACTTCTTTTAGTCTCTGTTTCTCATCTGCACAATGGAAATACTTCCCCATATCAAGGAAACAATAGATGATATTAGAAAGATAGAAGACATGAGATGGTTATAAAAAGTTGGAAGAGTTAAAAATATGCAAGGCAATAAAAGGGATTGTTTTTTACTTCTTAGAATCTCCTGTAAGCTTTGGGCAGGCACAGCTGGATCCTGCTTTAGAAAAATTCTCTTAACTATAAGTATAAAACTTTTCTGATTTTTGTATGTAGCACTTCCCTATTTTGATATAGAATGTTTTGGCAGCTTTCACCCTTTATTTTTCATACTCTTATACCAGACATTATGTGAAAATTCCTTGTATTTCATATTGGACATTTTGAAAATGAAATTGTAATGTCTTAATGGTTTGATGAAGAGTACCATACCTACTAGCGGTAATTGAATGAACTCCCTCTGGACAATTGACAGTAGTATCTTCTTTCATGAACCACTGTATTATTTAATAATGAATGCAATAGCCTGCCCAGCTCCCTTTTAGGAGATGACACCGAAGATAAACACTCCAAAAGATAGTTAATGAAACCTTTTTGAGCCTTTCAGATAGAGAAAATGACTGCTAATTCTTGTGGTTAGGAATTATACTAGGACTATTCTGCAGTTGAAACTCTTTATTAAAGAAATACATTAATAAACTTTAATGTTTATTAAGCCAGCTTTGTTATTCACCACCTTCATAAAGTGTTTAATATTTTTATTTAAAATTTTGAACTAAAGAAAGCAATACCTGGGGTCCTAGGCAAGAGCTAAGGGCAGCTCTCTCCACCTGGAGGCAGGCAAGGGAGCAACGCCTGGGGTCCTAGGCAAGGAGCTGAGGGCAGCCCTTCCACCCAGAAACAGGCAAGAGAGTATGCCAAAAACACCACTTCCACATGGGTGGCCCACCACAGCCACCACCACAGCCACTGCTGCCGCAAAAGAGACTTGAAGCTACAGCAGCAGCCACAGCTATGGTACAAGCAACCTGCCAGACACGTGACTGCATTGACACAAGGAGAGTCACCAGTGGAGACCAGAGAAAGATGACATCTCTCTCCTCAAAGCCCTCTTTAGAGTAATGAAAGAAGCAACTACTTTACCAGATTAGCAGACATCAAAATAGAGATACTAGAAATAAACATAGAGATACTAGAAATATGAAAACACAAGAAAATATGACACCACTAAAAGAATACAGTAATTCTCAAGTACCAGACCCTATAGAGCAGGAAACCCTGGAAATGACTGAAAAGGAATTCCAAGCAACCATCTTAATGAAATTCACTGAGATATGAGAAAACTCAGTTAGGCAACATAATTAAAAAAGAAAAAAAGGGCCGGCCCGGTGGCGCACTCGGTAGAGTGTGGCACTTGGGAGCGCGGCGTCGCTCCCGCCGAGGGTTCGGATCCCATGTAGAGACCGGTCCGCTCACTGGTTGAGCGTGGTGCGGGCGCGACACTGAGGGTTGCGATCCCGTTGCCGGTCGTGGTACAGGCGCGACACCAAGGGTTGTGATCCCGTTACCGGTCACGAAAAAAGACAAGAAAAGGAAAAAAAAAAAAGAAAAAAAAAAGTCCATGATATGAAGGAGGAAATTTACGAAGAGATTAATATCATAAAAAAAATGTAGCAGAACTAATGGAACTGAAAGATTCACTCAACAAAATAAAAAAACACAACTGATAGCTTAAACAGTAGGCTTGGAGAAGCAGAAGAAAGAAATTTGTGATCTTGAAAAGAGTCTTTTTGAAATAACTCAGGCAGACAAAAGAAGGGAAAAAGAATTTTTAAAAATGAAGACAATCTACAAGAGCTAACATACAAACTTAAACACACAAACATTCAAATCATGGGTGTTCCAAAAGGGGAGAAAAAAGGGAAAGGCATGGAAAACCTATTTAATGAAATAATAATGGAAAACTTCCCAGGTATAGGGAGAGACATAGACCTTCAGATCAAGGAGGCCCAGAGATCCCCAAACATATTCAACTCAAAAAGATCCTCTCCTTTGGGCCGAGCCCGTGGCGCACTCGGGAGAGTGCAGCGCTGGGAGCGCAGCGACGCTAACGCCGTGGGTTCGGATCCTATATAGAAGTGGCCCGTGCGCTCACTGGCTGAGTGCCGTGAGGGCGACACCACACCAAGGGTTGCGATCCCCTTACCGGTCATGAAAAAATACAAAAAAAAAAAAAGATCCTCTCCAAGATGCATTATAGTCAAACTGGCAAAGTTCAAAAAGACAAAGAGAGAATTTTAAAAGAAGCAAGAGAAAAGTATCAAGGCACCTGTAACGGAGCCTCTATCATACCAACAGCAGACTTTTTTTTTTTTTTTTTTCTTTTTTTTTTCCTTTTTGTCTTTTTTCATGACCGGCAATGGATCGCAACCCTCAGTGTCGCGCCCGTACCGGACCAGGACCGGCAATGGGATCGCAGCCCTCGGTGTTGCCCCCGCACCTCGCTCAGCCAGTGAGCGGCCGGTCTGTATGTGGGATCCGAACCCTCGGCGGGAGTGCCGGCGCGCTTCCCAAGCGGTGCACTGTAGCAGTGCGCCACCAGCCGGCCCATACTTTTCAATAGAACTGTACAGATGAGAAGAAAACAGGATGATATCAAAATACTAAAAGGAAAAAACTGCCAGCCAAGAATACTATACCCAGCAAGGTTATCCTTCAGAAATGAGAAGAAAATAGTGTATTTTCCAGACAAAAACTGCAGGAGTTCACCACTACACAACCAGCCCTATAAGACATCTTCAAAGAAGTCCTGCATCTGGACCCAAAAAACAATAATCACTACCACAAATAGACAAGAAAGAACAAAACCTACTGGTAGAACAAAAATGCAAATGAGCAGGAGAAAGAAACTAAATCTTACCATCACAAAAAACCATAATGACAATGTAATAATGCCCCTGCTTTATTTCTGATTTTAGTAATTTTGGTTTTATCTCTTTTTTTTTGGTTAGTCTAGATAAAGGCTTGCAAATTTTGTTGATTTTTTTATAGAATCAACTATTGGTTTTGTTGATTTTCTGTATTTTTTAATTTCTTATTTTATATATTTTATATATTTCTGTTGTAATCTTTGTTGTTTCCTACTTACATGTGCTTTTGGTTTAGTTTGCTCTTTTTCTATTTTCTTAAGGTAGAAATTTATATTACTGATTTGAAATTTTCTTATTTTTATTGTGTTTGCAAGTATAAATATTCCTCTAAGCACTGCATTAACCCTGTGTGCTACAAATTTTAATATATTGTGCTTTGCTTTTTTTTTTTTTTTTTTAATCTCAAAGTACTCTCTAATTTCCGTGATTTTTCTTTTTACTCATTGTTTATTTTAGGAGTGTTTTTAAATTTCCACCAATTTGTGAGTTTTCTAAATTTCTTCTGTTATTTTTGTCAGACAACATATTTTCTATGATTTTAGTCTTTTTAAATGTATTAAAACTTGTTTTATGGCCAAAAAAGTGAAAAAAAAATATACTAAATCTTAAATATTGTCATAATATAAATCAAAGTTAATAAATACGACAACGTGAGTATTAAACCCCTTAAGATGGCCATTTAGGAAAAATATGCTAAAATCATTTCATAGAAATAAATTTTAGGAAATTATGAGTTATACTGGCAAATCCATAAAGATTTTATTATTTATGGGACAAAATGATATCTGTAAATGTGCAAGTAAAGTGTTTAATAATATCTAAAACACTTGGCAAAGTAATTTGAAATAATAATGTCAGGAAGGTAGGGCAAGAAATTATCCTAGTAAGCAAAAGTCTAATAAAATTATACTCTATGTAGATAAAAGAACTATATGAACAGAGAGTGATCAATTCTGGAAACATATAAATAGGAAAGGCATAAAGAAAAAAGTAAGCAGAGCCTATGTAAGCACTATTCAGATGAGAATATATTTTAGCTGACTAGATTTGAATATTATTGTTTAGTGGGCAAGGAGACTGCCTCCACCTACCTTTGTTACTAACAGACTATTTAATAAGCTACCAGAAGTTTCCTTTTTATATTCCAAGCTTCTTAAACAACTTTCAGGTAAGTTGGCTTCCCATGCAGCTTTTTTATAGGACAGAACACACTAGTTGGGCCAGACGAAACTTTCAAGTTATATGCCTCACTATAATTAATGAATTTGCTTTCTAATAAATATGCTTATATTTACACACATACGTATATATAAAACCAAATTCACATGGGTGGATAATGCAGATCTCCTCCCCCACACACAACTACTCTGTAACAAGTCAAATCACACATTTAAAACTGCGAGGATGACCATGACAAATTCCAGTGCAGGGACCATTCTGATCAGCCACCTAGGCTTCCCCAGAAAATCTCTTATTCTGTCTTGTTGCATGCTTTCTAAAAACCACAAAGCATGGTTCTTCTGAAGCTTTAAAACATATAACTCAGAAACATATAACACCTGGCTGTGTTTTATTTAGTGTTTTCTTTTATTATATGCTCAGAACATCAAATCCCCACTGTTTGGGTATTTGATTGAAATTTTCTTTTGTGTTGATGTGAGAGTATACCTCTGAGATTCTTACATATGCAAAACAAAATCCCAAAAAGGAATTTGAAAACACATTTTATCACTTTGGGTCAGATAATTCAAATTCTAAAATTAGGCATTATACATAGCAATTTGGCAAGAGGAAGAAATAAAATGCGTCCAGATTGGAAAGGAGAAAGTCAGATTGTTGCTGTTTGCAGATACCGTGAACCTATATATAGAAAACTGTAAAGACTCCACCAAAAAATTATTAGAACTAGTAAAAGAATTCAGTAAAGTTGCAGGATATGAAATCAACATGTAAAAATTAGTAGTGTTTCTATATGCTAATAGTGAACTATCTGAAAAAGAAATCAAGAAAAGGATTCCATTTAAAGAGGACATAAATAAATGTAAAGATAGCTCGTGTTCATAAAGCAAGTTAGCCATATTATCCAAAGTGATCTACAGATGTAATGCTATTCCTTTCAAAATACCAATGATCTTTTTCACAGAAATAGAGAAAAGAATCCTAAAATTCATGTGGAACCATAAAAAACCCCAAATAGTCAAAGTAGTGCTAAGCAAAAACAACAAAGCTGGAGATGTCATACTATCTGACTTCAAAATATGCTACAAAGCTGTAGTAAGTAGAACAGCATGTAGTAAATAGAATAGGTACTAGCACAAAAACAGACACATAGGCCAATGGAACACAGTAGAGAGCCCAGAGATAAAATCACGTACCCACAGCCAACTCAGTTTTGATAAAAGTGCCAAGATACACATTAGGGAAAAGACAGTCTCTTTAATAAATGGTGCTGGGAATATTGGATATCAACATGAAGAAGAATGAGAGTAGACACCTACCTCTCACCATATACAAAAATCAACTCAAAATTGATTAAATATTTAAAATGTAAAACCTAAAACTGTAAAACTACTACAAGAAAACATAGGGGAAATGCTTCATGACATTGGGCAAAGATTTTTTAAATAAGATCTCAAAAGCACAGGCACCAAAGCAAGAATAGACAAATGGGATTACATCAAACTAAAAAGCTTTTTCACAGTAAAGGAAACAATCAACAGAGTGAAGAAACAACTTACAGAATGGGAGAAAATATTTGTGAACTATAATCTGCCAAGGGGTCAATATACATAATATGTAAGGAACTTAAACAATTCAAGAAAAGAACCCCAAATAATCCTATTAAAACGGGTAAAAGTCCTTAATAGACATTTTTCAAAAGAAGACATGCACATGGCAAACAGTTATATGAAAAAATGCTCAAGAAGATATAACAACTATACTTTTATGAAGTTGTTACAACAAGCAAACGGAAAGGACATTCTTGGGGGGGAGGGGAGAGAGGGGGGAGGGGGGGAGGTGTCGGTGATG